AGAGATAGCGGGGGGAGTAGGGAAGGAGGAGGTGCGGGGAAGGAGAGGGTGCAGGGAAGGAGAGGGTGCGGGGGAGGAGGTAGCAGGGAGGACGGAGGCAGTGGCAGGAAGTAGGATGGTGTGCGGGGAAGGAGAGGAGAACAGAGGGGGTGGCAGGGGAGAGGGATGCGAAAGAGATAGCGGGGGGAGTAGGGAAGGAGGAGGTGCGGGGAAGGAGAGGGTGCAGGGAAGGAGAGGGTGCGGGGGAGGAGGTAGCAGGGAGGACGGAGGCAGTGGCAGGAAGTAGGATGGTGTGCGGGGAAGGAGAGGAGAACAGAGGGGGGGATGAGAAAGAGATAGTGGGGAGGGGAAGGGTGCAGGAGAGGAGGAGAGACAGAAGGACAGTGGCAGAGGAGAACCAGGTAGACAGGAAGGAAGATGTGCGAGGAGGGGATGCAGGGAGGAGGTAGCAAGGAGGCAGGGCAGAAAGATAGAGAGGAAGCAGGGGAAGAATGTACGAGGACAGGGGAGTGGGGTGGAGGTAGTGGGGAGGGGAATGAGGGAGGAGGTGGAAAAGGTATGCACCTTAGGGAGGAGGTGTGCATGTGTAGTGTTAAGTTTCTCGGCTGACAGTATAAATTTCTTGCCGTACGGACAACTCCGCACGCGTCTCCGGTAGAACGTACGACTGTCGACTCCGTCCGCCACCCGCCGGTGTTAAACAGTCTATATAAACATTTGAGCTGGAAACAGATCTGATACTTCACCATCGTGCGTGCACGCACGACTTACGCTGCTGCTGCTTCAACACTCACGTCTCAATGGACTAATTGTCTATTGACTAAATTAATTAACTAATTAATTGACTAATTGTCAATGGACTAAAATGATGAATATCAATTTGGCGCTTTCTCGCTTGTAGTTGCCCCCCTCGCAGTTCCCGTCATTCATGCATTCATGCTGGCAGGGACAACTCTTTCTAATGTAGTCTTGGAAATAGGTCTGAAAACCCGGGGCAGTCCCAATTTTAAAAATCTTGATTTCTACCACGTAAATTCCGCATCTGTGGCTAAATTCCATAATATTAGCCGGTTCTGGGCAAGAGTTAGCGATCCCGGACTGCAGGGGGCAGGGCTGCTGCTGTTTCTAACACTGCTCGAGGGCGTGCCCCATCTCAGGTGAGCCTACCTGCAGCTTCAGCTTCCTACATACACGAGGAGAAGAATCTGACAGATGAAACCCGAAGTAGATCTGCGGTATCGATTTGGCAAGACAGCGATTTGTGTGGTGGGTGACCAATTAGAGTGTTCATGCTGATAACGGTAAGGTTAGCGTTAGAGTTGAAGGTTAGGGTTAGGTATGGTAGAAAGGTTAGGCAATGATATCCTTGTCCCTGAAGCCTGAAGCCTAAGCTAATCTTAACACTATCAAGAGCGGATTTAGGCTCTCGTGGGCCACCACGGGGTAAGCTTTTACCACTCATAACTACAGCAATATTGGGGGGGGGGACCCTGTAGGCTTGTGGTTTCACTGGTGCTGCATTACGTATGAGTTTCCAGTAACCATTCTAACTAGGTCGTATGCAAAAAACGCCTTGCTTGGAGGAACGAATACTCCACAATAAACTGCGAGAAAATGGTTTTTGTGGGATTAGTTTTTATTTGCGGTTTTACTTATTGTAAAAACACTCGCTCAGTTCTCTCTCTTCCCTCCTGCTCCCTCTCTCCCTTTCCCCCCTCTCTCCTCTCCCTCCCTCTCTCTCTTCTCCTTCTCCCTCCCCCAGTTCTCCTCCCCTCCTTCGCTCTCCCCCTCCCCCCCTTCTCGCTCTCTCCCTCCCCCTCTCCCTCTCTTCCCCC